GGGGGGGGGGGGGGGGGGGGGGGGGGGGGGGGGGGGGGGGGGGGGGAAAAGGGGGGGGGGGGGGGGGGGGGGGGGCTGGGGAGGGTTTCAGGGGCCCCGCGGAATCTTCCGCGGCCACAGCCGGCGGAAAGGCGGTCACGCCCGAGGAGGTCCAGGCGGCGCTGCCGGCCATCGACGTGGCCGTCTGCTCCAGGGGGACCCTGCTGATGCTCAACTACTTCTCCACGTATTCGGCCCTCATCAAGACCAAGGCCAAGGCCCAGCCCAACTTCAAGCGCGGGCTGTACTGGGCGGACCCCCCGGCCCTCTCGACCCGGTGGTCGCGCTTCTGCGGCTGGTTCCTCCGCAAGTGGCGAAGGATACGCAACTTCTTCCACTAGTCGCAGCGCTTTGTTTAGTCGAGTGTATGTAGTTGGGGGGGGGTTGTTGTCTTGTTTTTCGAATGGTTTTCGTCGTTCAGTGTTGGTGGTATTCCTAGACACGGAGATTGTCTCCTTTAAATACCGATCGAGTGGTCTTGGTATCCACAGAGTTATTTAGTCGTGCCGTTGCGTCTTGCGTTATCTAGGTTCGTGATGGACCCTGTGTAGTATATTATATACCTATCATGTGGAATGATGTAAGAGGTTAGGCTTTCCGTGAACCGCTGAGTTGGGGGAGTGATCGCGGTGCGAAGGCGGGTTGGTTTCGCGACAGGCCAACTGACTCCAGCATGTTCGTTATAACTCTCAATAGTTGTGTTGGATGTTCCGATTAATGAAGGGTCAACATTGTCATATGAAGGGATGCGTCTAATTTATTCGGGTAGGAGGCTCCCCCTCGGGAATTAGGTGGCTTGCCTCCCGGGGGCGACGCAAGATGACACGGTCAATGCAGTCGCGGTCGCATCGTTGCACCTCAACGTCATGACATTCGTCAGTGAGTGCCAGGTGTGCGTACAGCCTGCGGAATTTGCCTGGAATTTTGCATCATGCAAGGGGTTGTTTTTCTTCTCGCCGTGGTGACTTTTCGCGTGTGCGTGATTGTGTCGTTTTTAGGCTAGTGGCGGCTTTGCAGTACGTCCTACTGCTGCAGTCCGCTGCGTTTGATCTCTCACTCTTGTGTGTCCGTGTTGCCCATGGCTCTTGCGTGACTTGTGTGCGTTGCGCAGGAATCAAAACAAAAGTCTTCGCTGTTTTATACAAAGCAGTTCTTTTGTACTTGTTGCGAAGGCTTTCTTCGCGCGGAACACGTCCCCGGGGTAAAGAGCCAGTTTTTTTCAACTTTGGGCGTCAACCACAAGCGCCACGGGTGGCCGGCGGCGGTCCTCGGGCGTGCGTGGGGATGTACCAACGACACCTCTGCGTGCCCCTGAGAGGGCCTGAGAGGGAAGCGAGAGTAAAGACTCGCTTCCGCCCGCGAAAGATGCCTCGAAGCTCGAAAACAAGCAAGTGATGATACATGCTCATATTGGTTTCATGGTCGCGGTTGTATTGTGTCGCGGTTTCAGCTTTTGCTGCTAGAAGCGCCAATTATTACCGATGATATATTGTATGGTGTGTTACTTTGTCGTACTCTTTAAATCGTCCACACATGTTCCAACGGCCTCCCTAGTGCCACATGCACGGCTTCACTTATGCCACCCCCACAGAATGACAGAACAAATGGGACGAAACAACAAAAAATATATATTCTCCTGCTGTCCGACAACGCCAGACCAACACACATGCTATACCAAAACTAGTGGCCGAAGTTCTCGTACACAGCAACAAAAAAAAATGCCGCGGCAAAAGTTGTTCGACGAATGCCTACGCCTCGGCCGCGAGCTCTATCGACTGGCCGGCCCACGACTCGGCGTCGTGAGAAACGCGGAGCTTTGCGTCAGCGTCGGCGTCAACGGTCCCCTCCAGGACGGTCTCGAGCCGCCGCATGATGGCCTCGGAGCCGCTGGCCTCCGGCATGTTGAGCAGATCACCGCACGTCCGGAGGAAGGTCTTCGTCTCGCTCGAGAACCGGTACAGTTCGTTTAGTTTCGGCAGGCAACCCCCCAGGGAGCTGACACCGAACAGGAGCTGGAAGTGCTGCACGATGCGGTTGACGGGCGACGGGTCGTCCTGTGGAAACGCAACGCAGGCGGCGAAAAAGTAGCAAGAAGAAAAAAAAAAACAAGCACGGAAGAGTTGAAAAACGTTGTTCTACTGTAGTCTGAAAAATTAAAAAAAACAAGAGGCACCCTTACTTAAATGTTGCGGATCGGACCTCTTCAGCTGGAGAGGCAAAAGGCCAGAGGGGGGGTAAAACCTACCAACGACGGCTTGTAAATTGTGATCAAAGAAAAATAAGTTTTGTGTGTGTGCCAGGTCAAGGGGGGGGGCGTTGTGTAGGCACTATCGGATCGGATAGGAGTTCACGAGCTCGCAAACGCTGGTGAAAGAAGCAAGAGCGGGGCGGCTTGACATCTTATATTTCATCAATGGCCAAGGCCTGTCCTCTCCTGTCTGACCCCTCTCACCTTCATATTTTTCATCAATGGCCAAGGCCTGTCCTATCCTGTGTGACCCCTCTCACCTTCATACTCCTGTCAGCTCGTTCGTTGAGGTGCATCTCTTGGAGAGATCTACGCTCGAAGTCCACCAAGTGCTGGATAGCGGACGTCGCAGCCCGATCGCTCTTGAAGACCGAGCCACGAGCCCCCTGCCAAAACCAGACACACGAAAGCATCGAATGGCAGGGGACAGGAGCCTTGGATGGGCTGGGCAGTGTCTTCTTCGAGGTGTCCTTGGGAAGTCGCTCAATAAGAGGTCTAACGACATATATTATCTGCCATTCTACAGGCTACAACGTCATGGAGCAAAACATTACACATTTGTCACGTCTTAACGTTCGCCAGCCCGAGTTTCCAGATGTTATCTGCCATTTTACAGAATACAATACAGTCACGGAGCGAAACAATAACGTTTGTCACGTCCTACCTGAGATTCGCCAGCCCGAGTTTCCAGGACTCGTAACACGCCGCGGTGAAACTCCTGCAATTAAAAAAAAATAGGAAAAGGGGAAACGACGGGCGAGAGACACGAAGGACAGCAATCGTTAGCCTGTCCCGGATATTGCGATGCCTCCACGCAACTCCATCAAACGAGGTGAGTGTAGGCTGTTGCTGCTACGGCTTCTTCTCCAGCCCGTTACTAAGTTCTGTGTTCGGGTTGCCTCATGTTCACGCGAAAAACGAAACGGGGGAAGGAAAAACATCAACTAATAGGCAACGCCGACGACGCTATACCTTCAGCTTCACGGGCTCCTGGGCACGCGCCAGCCACAGCTCCAGGAGCGGCAACACGTCCTCCATCGTCCGCGCCTTTCCGGCCAGAGCCTGGGACAGCATCCCGTCGCTTGACGCGGATAGCACCTCCGTCGAGTGTCGAAACACGAACCCACAGACACTGATGTGGGACATTCCGGGCAAGATAAAACGGGGTATGGGTGTTACCGGGTACCACTACGGGTCGACGACGGTACACGGTTCGGTCGGCCGTCGGCAGGAAGGTGGGCACTAGTACGACGTCAAAGCAAAAGGGGGCAGTTCTCACGCGCACCCCCCCACCGCAGCAACGCAGTCAAAAACAGAATGGGCGTCTTGATCTCCTTTCTGATCCTTCTGCTGCACGGACTCTTTGGTTGCTGTTCGTCGTGTCCCGTAAAATCACCTGTTGACGAAGCGCTCCAAGCGAGGAAGCATTTGCACCGCTTTGATGAGCTTGGACACGGACGAACCAAGCAGCGAGACGTCCTGCAGCGAGAGGAGGCGACAGGCGTCCTGAACGACCTGCTTTAGGACCGCGGTCGGCAGCTCCTCCAGCCTGTCCAGCTTGAGTCGGTGGTTTCCCCGGTCCCTTCGCATCAGCTCTCTGGTGTCCACCCACCGCCGCAGCTCCGCGACGTCCATGGCCTCTTTTGCCTACCCTCGACAGCGGTACATTCGCGAAATAAAGAAGCTGGTCCGGGAGTATACTTTCGCCTATCGTCGACAACAGCAGTTTATCGCGAAATGAATAAGCCGAATGCAGGACAACAATGATGGACCTGGGTTCATCCAACTGTTTGGCCATAACGCGACCATGCACAATCGTGCACGAGTTGTTGAAGCCGGTTCTGCTATAAATCCTGTTGGCCCCGTGCACCCAGACATACCTGGCTAGTTGCCTGGCCGAGCTTAGTCTCGAGGTCCTGTATCCGTCTTTGGCTGGCGCGCCAGTTTCGCAACGACGGCCGCGAGGAAAGCTCTAGCCGCGCGTTCACAAGAGCGTCCTGGAAGGGATTCACAAAGGATACAAGAGAGACGTACGGCACGGCGCGGTCGAGCGGGGTTGGGGAGGGGAGGGGGGTGAGAGAAATGTGAGCGATACGAAGATGAAGAGGTAGACCGACGAGAACAAGATGAAGGGATACATACACCGGGGCGCGAAGTGGACGAACGTATTTCGCAAAAGAGTGAAAAAGAGCGAACGTTACAACCCGTGGCGATAGACCGACGGTAGCAACAACAGGTAGGTGTGGGTCCTGTCTCTACATAAAGAAACAGGTGTGTCCAAACAGATGGGCAACCAACGGCCGAATAGCTCAATAGTGCAAGCGAAGAGTGAATTTGCACACCCCTACCCCGCCAGACCAGCACACGCAAGGAGATTAGACCCCGCCTCTGGTTCATCATGTTTGAAACGTAGCCTGGGCCGACCCACACTCGGCATGCCGCCCCTTCCCGCAACTGTAGGGGTGCGAGGTCTATCGTCTACCGACTACGGGATGCGTTTACAAGAAATACACCTCCCCGGACTACATCAATCATACCCCCAGTTCCGGCCGCATGTCGCCGCCGTCCATGCGTGACGGGAACACGAGGTTTCGTTGTCGCACGGCGCTGTGTTGTTCACGGGTACGGCTACTACCACACACGCCACACACGCGCAGGTCTCGCAAAACAAACAAAAGAAACGCTGACCGCAGGAAAACATAAAAAAAAATACCATATGTACAGCCAGGTATTTTTGTTTTCTTGCACCTGAGTCTCGTCGGCCTTGGCTTGGACCTCGGCGCACTCCTTCTCCATGCTCGCGCACCGCTCCAACGCCCTGGCCTCCCGCTGTTTCATCACCCTGACGCTCCTCTCCGACTCAGCGAGCCGATCTCGCAGCTCGCGGAGCTCGTCTGAGGAGGCGGGCGCGACCTTCGGGTCGAGGTCCGGGGTCCAGTCGGGGCCTAGCCGATGCTTGAGAATCGTGTTCTCCTTCTCTCGGAGCTCGTCCCCGAGGCGGGAGACCTCCGCCCGAAGCTTGTCCATCTCCGCCTCCGACCGTTCCTGGGCCTTCGAGTGCGCCATCAGGGACTCCGCCACCCTCGAGTCGTTGGCTCCGCCGCCGCCGCTTCCACGGACGGCAACAACAGCGGCGGCCTCCTTCTGCCTGAACTTGGCGAGAATCGCGCGCTCTCGCTGCTGGGACAGCCGCTCCTTCTCCGCCTCTTCCTGGAGCTTGTCCATCAACCTCTGCGCCGCGGCTTCCTTCGCCTTCACCCGGTGCTCGCTCTGCTTCAGCTGCGAGGCCAGGCTGGCGCTCTCGGCCCTGGCCCGCCGGGAGTCCAGGGCCAGCTGGTCCTGCAGGCGCTTGTTCTCCGCCTCCAGCGCGGCGGCCCGCGCCTCCGCCCCCGCGGACCGCTTCGACAGGTCGGACCTCTCGCGGCGGAACGACTCGTTCAGCACGGACTCTCGGTGTCCGCCCACGTTGTCGCGCCGCTGGAGCTCCAGCGACATCTCCTGGATGACCCTTCCCCTCTCCCCGTGCTTGAAGACTACGTCCCGCAGGGTGTCCGCCAGGCTCGTCGGATCCGGCACCGCGATCGACCCCCCCGGTCGCGACAGCGACACCTCGCGGAACCCCTGCTCTCGAAGGCTCTCGTTGAGGGCGTCCCATGGGCTTCCCTCGTTGGTTTGGGGCGGATTCACGCGACCGACGCGGTAGTGCGAAGTCATCCCCCTTGCCGACATGTCTAGGCTCGCCGGCTGCTGGGGCACGAGGGACTTGGTGGCTTCCTTTCCTGAAGCCTCGTCATCCGCTTCAGCTCCGTCCTACCGATTCAACCCATGTTTCAAGTCGAAGTTGACACAGCAGTAGGATTGTGACGATCCATCCAAATATTGCTCCTGTGGGCGTGCATTTTGGCCAAAGGGGAGGCGTGGAAAGGCTCCACAAACGGCATGCAACCTTGTACCACGGCATAATACTTCCAGCGTAGGCAAGACTCAAGGTGTTATCGCCGGGGGTTGATTGATAAATGTTTGCTTCGCGATGGGTCGGCCCAAGGCTTGAATTGAAAACTTCTGGCACTGCTGCTATGCATAAGGGCCTTGCCGTAGAAGTCTGCTCGTAGCTTGTTGGCAGGCACAGTTTGCATACCCCTCCCCCCCTCCCCGGTTCAATTCCCTCAGAGAAGAGCAGGGCTTGCACGCCCGTAACGTACCTTGTTGACCGAGAAGCCCGGGGGAGCGATCCCCGCCGCCCTCCGAAAGGAGGGCGTCGTCATCCTCTTCGCACCTTCCCCGACGTCGCCTTCGTAGCCGCAGCTGTCCGTCTCCACTCTCGCCTCCTCGACAGCGCGGGTGGCGATCGCTGCCAGCGGAAAGTCAGTCCCCGCCCGGGCCCCTCCCCCACCTCCTCCTTCCGAGGAGTCGTTGCTGGCGTGGGCACTCTCCAGCAGGTCCGCCTCTCGGTCGTACCCGTCCGCTCGCGGCGAGACAGTGCCGCTGACGGAGACAAAAAAAGCAACGGCACATGCGTGCGTGAACTACACGAGGCAACAACTGAAAACAAGCTCTCGGCGACGGAACGCGGCTCGGTTGCCCACAGATCCCTACACGGCAAACCACTGCTGGGATCATCACGTTTTCGAGCAAACCAGCGTCGGCAAATTTGGCAGTAAAAAACACAAGCATGTCCAGGGGTGATACGTAGTCTTCGTCGGGTACGAGCAAGCGTCGCGCCGTGAATTGTCCCTACGGTAGCCGCCCGGCAGCGCACGCCCGGAACCCTTGCGATCGACCGGGCATAAAAAAAGCACACAAAGAAAGAGAGAGAGAGAGAGAGAGAGAGAGAGAGAGAGAGAGATGTCCCCTTCTGCAGTTATTCTGATGAGCTAGTTGGTAACCCTGTTGCCTGCTGCGTACATACCGCGGTGCCTGTATGGGTGATGGCTGGTCTTGAGCCAAGGAGGGCCAGATGGGCTGGCCCGTTGCCGCGCTCACTAGCTCTTCGTCACCTGCAGTTAATACGTAGCATTGCCATACGTACGAATGTACCAGCAGAAAAAATTGGAGTGGGCGGGGGCGTGGGTCAAGTCTGGCCGGTGGTGGCGACGGTGAGCGCAGAGTAGAGCCACCATGCTGCTGTACCCTGCAGCCTTGGCGGGCAAGATTTGGCTCGGCATTGCGCTGCCTTACGTACGTCCTTGCGATACACTCGATCGACAACATACAATTAATGTACCACTGACGTTGTGTCATCGCCTTGACAGGTCGCCGGACCGCACCAATAGTACGAAGGAGCCACAGCAGGTACATAGCGAACGGTAGTTTTTTCTCTGCTATTCTGTGCAGTGGCCTGACCCGCTCATTTGGCGTGTGTATCGCGTCCCACTCCTTGGCCATATACATAAAATGGGCGTGCTGCGTGGTTCAATCCAATCAGGGGCCACATCGTCCGTTTGCCATTGTCCTATGTATGACATCGAGAGACACTGGGTGGTTCGTCACATGCAAACAGGGTCTGGTAGGCGGAAATGCATACGTGCTGGCACTTTCTGAGTTCCACCCTTCGCAAACTATGCGTATGGTAGAGCTGCACATGCGTCTGTACAGCGTATCCCCGACAAGTAACAGAGAGCGCAACGCAAAGCGCAGCACGCAAACACCCAGCAGAGTGTATAGGGCAGGTTGCATAAGGCATCATATCCCCTGGCCTGATTTTCAAAGCTCGATTACTCGGCAGGATAACCAGTGACGGCGCCGACAATGGCGGCGTAGGAACCGTCTCGTCGAGAGCTTTCTGACAACGTTTCCTTTGATTTCAGCATCCTCCTCGTCGTGGAGTGATTAAGCTTAGAAAATCGGTCCAGGGGGTGTGGTATCTTCCGCAACCTGCGGTACCGTAAGCCCGCTCACGGCGAAGCAGAGACGACAGCATATAATACAGGGGGACAATTCGACGGCAGCCGCTGGCTAACAATGGGGCCCTACGCGGGCGAAGAGAGAATGCATGCGCTGACTGTATGGCTCGGACAGAGGCAACCCGCTGTACACCTCGGGCAAGTCACCGTCTGTGTCATGTTTGGCGCCGAACCCACAGAGCAATAGTATAGACTACTTCGTCATGGAATTACATTATCTCCTGGTGTGCAGTACTGCTGTTGTACTGCTGTAGAGATGCCACAGAGTTGCATCACGGCCTTCTGGCGAGAGCAATGCACGATTTACTTCACATAAATACTTCTCTCACCAGAGCTGTCCGCGTAATCGCTTGGGGCTGCGGCTTGCGCAGACGTTGCACCCATGATTAGCGCTCGAGCGTGCCCCGGACTCTGTAAGGTCGATCCACACAAATCGACAAGATCACGGCGCGCGGAAATGCGTTCAGCAGCAGCAGACCGCGTGAAGGAGGAGGCAGGTGTTGAAGTGGATGTAAGGGAGAGCTGCTGTTAGTGCTGTCGGCACTGTCAGTGCAGTCACGACACGCCTGATCTTCGCGTCCCACAACCGTTCCAGTGATGCGGCAACAAAACAGCGGCACGATTCCGCGCACGACAGCAAATGGGCACTACACCGTCGACTAACCTTCGGAACTCGGGTGTTGGCACCAGCTACAATCCTATAATTAGCATTGTTGTTGCACACCTGAGGTTCCGCAGTAGTGTCTACATCCTCTCCTCCAAGCTCTCCTCCTACTTCCACCAGGCGAGAGACAAGTTTCTGAAGAGCATCGTCGCTCATCTCGGAGGATGACCCGTCCAACTCCGCCTGTGTTGGGTGTTGGCATCATCGAAACCCACAAGCACGAGCATTCAAGTTCTGCGCGCGAGGTTCTGAAATTTGAAAATAGTCCCCGGCGGTTGCGTGTACATCATACGCAGCGGAACGTCCTTGCAGCTTCTCTCAAACCTTATTCCCGACTGATTAAGAAGCGTGTCACGTACCATGCTGTAAGCCCGTCCGCCTTGCTCTCCTCTCTCTCGAACCTGTCTCTCTCCTTGCCAAGGCTGGGTGTTGGCCGGCCAACGCGTTGCAAAGCCGCCTTATGCAATGCATGCGATGGAACATGGAACCAACGCAATCTGCATTGAATTCACGGTGCCCCCGGCCCCGAACCGCCTTGTGCCTTGTGTGACACGTGCCTTAGTTTGTGCATGGCTTGCTGCTGGGTTAGCTTGAATGCGGCGGTACGACGGACAAGAACGAAACAGTAGGGCTAGGGTGCCTGCCATGAGACATTCCGTGCACGCTGGAAAGGCGCTGGGAGTGCGAGGGAGCGATCGTCTACTCAAGGTATGCTCTCTCAAAAGAACAACAGACGGAAGCCTTCGCTTTTCGTCTACTGCTGTACCCGTCTCCCGACATTTTGCCCAACTCACACGGATCTTTGCCAGCGTTCGTCGGCATGCAACGGTGTCACGAGACCCTTCAAAAGGCATAGCAAAGTTGGCTGTATGTTTTCTCCTCCGTTGGTTTGTGCGCACCGTCGCTCCTCCGTACGCACATCATGTTCTCAGCAACCCGTCTTTCCGACCAGTGCTGCACGGCTGAAAAAAAAAAAACATGGCGGAGGAAAAAAAAAAAATCGGTTTACACAGAATAGCAGCGCGACAGGCGTACATCGGCTAAAGGCTCACAGCAGCAGACCATCCCAACAACCATCTAGGGGACCAAGATTTACAAGGTTCCGTTCTCTGTAGGCTTCAAACTTGGCGGCGCAACCCGCAGCCTCGACCCCAACATATTGTGCCACTCGTATTAGGAAACAACAACACGAACACAGAACGACTAGTCTAGTCTACCCATTCGAGATTTGAGATAAGACCACAGTCGATCTACACGGCGCATCAACACTGCTTTGAACCCGTCAAACCGATCAAGCACGAGAACGCGCCCACCACTTAATCAATCGCCGCGAAGATTTGAGGGAAGACGAACTGAGCGCCAGAGAGTGTTGCGCAAGAATTCAACTTGATTTGTGAAGAGGGTAGAGAGGTAGGCACGGATTAAGTTGAAAACTGACGTTCGCATACAGGTACCGTGCTTATGCCCTGCCCACGGCCGGCTACACCGAGTATTGATCATGCTAATATAGCTGCTGATCTTGTGCTTGTACAGCACTTGGAATGGTGCTGCAATACGAACTACAGGTGGAGTACTCTTCAATCGTCAGCTAGGTTTGAACTGAAATTGCTGTTGGGGTGCCCCCTCCCCTGCCTCTTGACTCGGGACTCGGGACCCTCACCCACCCAGTAGCACAACTCTCCTGATTCCCGAAGAAAAAAAAATAGAAGGGTAGGTAGCGACCGTACCACGGCAGCTACACCAACAGTGAGTTTGGCCACTAATAACGTTGTGCTATCTCATGTCGCACGCAGGCAACGGCCGGCCTATCTACACCTTCAAGTATTTTTTCTCAAAGTATGACTACGCACTGCATGGACTTCGGTGTGTCGAAAACGCGAGGAAAAACTTACTCACGAGCACTCCACGCAACCCCAGGGGCCCCGAGTTGCCCAAACCTATCTATCTCCAAGGGCTGCCCTTCTTGCCGCACAAGTTTATTTGCTCAGAATAGCTGCGCCAGAAGTAAACCTGGAGCAAGCAACGTTGGGAGCGTGAGCTCGAAACAACACGAGCAAACAAGGGAGCGGGCAGCAGTCGCCTTCGCCGTTAATCGTCTACTTGGCTCTGGAAATGACAGCATTCAATATAGTAGGAAACAAGCTCCCTCGAGGTGCCAACACCAAGATGATCCCAAGTTCGTCAAAGAACATGCATGCCCGAACAGAATGATACAACAAAGAGCATGCTTACCGTCAGTACAAACGACACAGGCCCGACACGCCCTCGTCCCGATGGGTTCCAGGCAGTCTGCGGAAAGAACGCGAAGAAGAAAATGCCATGCCAACAAACACGGACACCCAGCGTGGTTGAAAAAAAGAAGCCTCCTCCGTCCGTCCGTCTCCCGGAGCACCTACGCACGAAAATTGGTCGAGCGAAAACGCGTGATTTTGCCGGCTGTTCAGCGTACGGCTTCTGCTCCTACGACTGATAATCTGCCACCTCGGGTCGTCGCAATTTCCTCAAGCATCCAACGAAAAGCAAGTGAAGCACGGACCTGTTGAACCACCAAGAACGACGCGCAAAATATGGCATTGGCAACTGGGTTGGAATATATCATATCACATGCACCCTCAGAGACTAGAGCAAGAGAAAGGCAGCGCCGCTTATCGATCTTTCGTTGCGATGTTGAGATCTGACGTACAAGATTGCCCGTCACGACACCCCCAACCCCAAGCCAAGTCCCTCAAGGAATGCTACATGCACCTGCTTGAAGAAGTAGCCAGATCTCGGTTCCAGGCGTCGTTAACGATGTCCGCAACATCATCGTCTGTGTCTCCGTCACCCTACAACGGGTCGACGCCCTTCTCGCTCAACCCGTCAGGTCCTCAACGCTGGAGCTAGATTCGGCCGAATCCCACTTCATCAAATCGTCGAGTGCACCGACCGAACCGCTGCCGTTTTCGTTCGACTCGGGGTCCTCCAGCTCTGCGTTCTTCGATTCCGCGGCCTCGCCGGAGGAGAAGTCGTTGCTCGCAAGTGACTCGGGGGCCCCAAACGTCGTTCTGTTCCACTCCGCGCGATTCCTGCTGCTTCCTCGAGGCTCACTCTCCACATCGGCTCGAACAATTCTACCAGCTGCCCGCGCGACGCACATCCTAGCGTCTGCGTCCTCCTTGTCCTTCTCGACTAGCCCAGCATCGACTCGAGAGGCCCCTCCTTATCTGCTTTCGGGTTGGATGCTCGTCCCGAGGGGAGTTTGGAAGAGGCAGATTCCAGCTCGCGTGCGTCTGCCTTTGCTCCATCTACTCCAACTAGTCGTGAATTGCTCGCGGGCCCCGCGGCTATGCTGGTAAACAAATCCAGGACGAGTGTACTTGTGTATCTCCCTTATAAATCCTCCATACGGACCTTCGCGCGTTCAGCAGCTAGCCAATCGGCGACCTCCTGCGAGCAAAGGATCTCGCCTCGACCGAGGACTTCGTCCACCATCGCGCGCACCGTGCCCAACGGGTCAGGTGACGTCGGCGCCTTGCCCCCCAATCCACATGTAGTGTTCCTGGGTGCTCTGGCTGTTTCATCTCTCTTCATGCCATTCAACCGGTTCTGATGGCAACGGACGCACCACCAAACACTTCGCTCACTGGTGCACCTCCCCTCCGTGACATGATCACCTGCAGCAGAACTACGGGATACCATCTTACGCGGCTCTTGTCCGATTTCCGGTACACCCACAATTTCCGCAAACGTTCAGGATTAGGGTTAAGCCTTACCCTATAACCCTAACCCTACGCCTTTGGAACGTCGCATCCTCCCAATCCTCTCACTTCTCACTTCGTATATTTTCTTATTTGGCGAAAGAATACAGCAGAACAAATGGTCATCATGCCGCGTAACCAGAAAGAAAGATCGGTGTGGCCAATGGTGTGGCGAAATCATAACCTTTCCCGCCCCCAAATGCCCCCCCCTCTAGACACAAGTGGGTTGGCGCTGTTGGCAAAGCGCTGTAAAACACGCCACCCCAAAGATAGCCCCCATAGTATGGGCTACCCAAGACGCGTGACGCATGGACGAGTGGAGTGAGGATAGCTGTTTACGGAAACCTCACAGGTTGAGTAATGTATTGAGATACCGGACACATGGACGTGTTGAGTGATGATAGCTGTATACTGAAACCTCAAGGGTTGAGTGAGGTTTGAGGTTTGAGATTGCCGGACACATGGACGGGATGAGTGGGGAAAGCTACATACTGAAACCTCAAGGGTTGAGTGATGTTGGAGTGCCAGACACATAGACGCATTGAGTGAGGATAGACACATACTGAACCTCAGGTGATTTGTGATAGAGATTGCCGGACACATAAGACGTGTTGAGTGAGGATAGCTGTATACTGCAACCTCACAGATGGATTGATTTTTGAGTTTGCCAGACACATAGACGCGTTGAGTGGGGATAGCTGCACACTGAAACCTCAGAGATGGATTGGTTTTTGAGTTTGCCAGACACATAGACGCTTTGAGTGAGGATAGCTACATACGGAAACCTCACGAGGTGAGTGATGTTGGATAGTGCCGGACACATACCGCTTTAAGTGAGGGAAGACACATACTGAAACCTCGCAGGTGATTTGTATTGGAGATTGCCGAACACATAGACGTGTTGAGTGAGGATAGCTGCATGCTAAAACCTCACAGATGGATTGGTTTATGAGTTTGCCAGACACATAGACGCGCTGAGTGGGGATAGCTACATGAAACCTCACGAGTTGAGTGATGTTGGATAGTGCCGGACACATGCCGTTTTGAGTGAGGAACCTCACAGGTGATTTGTATTGGGGATTGCCGGACACATAGACGTGTTGAGTGAGGATAGCTGCATGCTAAAACCTCACAGATGGATTGGTTTTTGAGTTTGCCAGACACATAGACGCGCTGCGTGGGGATAGCTACATACTGAAACCTCACGAGTTGAGTGATGTTGGATAGTGCCGGACACATAGACGCTTTGAGTGAGGATAGCTGCATGTTGAGACCTAACGGGTTGAGTGACGTTTGCGACTGCCGGACACATAGACGCATTAAGTGACGAAAGCTGCATACTGAAACCTCACATGTTGATTTGTATTGGAGATTGCTGGACACATAGAGGCGTTGAGTGAGGATAGCTGTATACTGAAAATCCACAGTAGCTATAGTGAGGGGACAATTCGAGAATGCAGTACACATAGACCCGACCGCCAACCCGTACCTGAAACCCCCCTGAAAAACAGAGGCCATGCGCCTCCCCCCCCTCTCTACCTCCCCCAGAGGATGAGGAGGGT